ATGTTATACTTTCCCGAGTGATAAGTTTTGTTGTTATGTCATCTTGGCTTCAAAGTGGTGTACTTATATTGTCATATGAGTTGTCCCAGTGAGATTATAGTTCACAATGGGGCTTTGTCGGACTCTTTCGGTTAACGGTGAAGCAAGCCAGACGAGGTGAATTTGGACGTTCCCTCATCACACGTCGCTCCATGATCGCGGCGACCCAACTCACCCAAGCCTCAGAAATCATAGGGCAATATGCCATAACACTACTACTGAAATCTTAACCGTGGCAGACAAAAATGGTTAACCAAGACGGTTTTTGCAACCGCCTCGGACGAAAGGTCACCATTAATCGTGGCCTTAACTGAGGCGGTTGCAAAATCCGCCTCGGTTAATAGATTATCGGAGGCGGTCACCTTAGAACGTCCGCCACGGTTAATCGATAAAAAAAAAAAAAATCCCAAGCCCGTCAACGAGCCCGTTCCGAACCCACTAGCCAGATCTGGTCAGTGACGCAGTACGCCGCCGTCCTCCGACTCCTCCATGCGGGATCCATCTCCTCCACTCAGTACGCCGCCGTCCTCCTCCCCAATTCCATTCTTGTGAACGTTCACCCAGAATGAATCCAGCGAATGATCTCATCCGAGCATAACCGCCCACTCCCCTTCCATGTAGTTAATGTCATTTAAAAAATGCAATACATTTATTTCAAAAATGTTATAATTTCTGACCGGTGTATCCTTTTTTACTTCCGTCTGCACCGATGTGTTCTACGTGACGAGACGAACAAAACTAGATCCCACTTATATATGTTTCAAAGCATTTTTTTTCTCGTAGCAATTTAAGTGTATTAACTTATGACATATAACTTATACCTTACAACTTATGTATATAAGTTGTATTGAATAACTTAAGGACAAAAGTTGTATAGAATAACTTATGTACATAAGTTGTATTTGATAACTTTTTACATAAGTTGTGTTCCATAACCTTTTGTATTTCCATGTTTTAGCATAAGTTTATGTGTGTTTTATAACTTTTGTGTTTTCAAGTTTTAGCATAAATTATATGTCAATTGTTTCTTTGTGTTTAATAACTTTTATACCTAAGTTTTGTTTCATAACTTTTGTGTTTCCAAGCTTTAGGATAAGTTATATGTTATATAGTATAAGTTATATGGTATAAGTTATATGTTATAAGTTAATATATATAAGTTGTTATTAGAAAAAAAAAATCTTTGAAATATATGCAAGTGGGGTCTAATTTTGTTCGTCTCATCGAGTAGAGCACACCGGTGCAAACAAAATTGAAAATAGATACACCGTTCGCAAATTATAGCATTTTGAAAATAAATATTCTGCTTTTTTAAGGATCACGTCATTTACTTGGAAAGGGAGGAGGGGAGGGGCACGCCCATGTCCTGCTCAACGCACTAGCCATTCAAAAAAAAAGGTATAGGTGCGATTGAATTTTTCTAAAAAAAGAAAGTTTGGTGTGTCCAAAATTTGATCGTTGTCAGGTATCGATATTAGGGATACCCAAAGCAAAGAGGTTAGCTCCCACGCTGACTTTCTCGGATGGAGTAAGACGCATTAAAAGGTCTCGCCCGACCCCAAGGCCGCGGGCTCCATCTCGCCCGACCTCGAGGCCGCGGGGGTCTCGCCCGACCTCAAGGCCGCGGGCTCCGTCTCGCCCGACCCAAAGGCAGCGCTCCGTGTCGCCCGAACTCAAGGTCGCGGGGCTCCGTCTCGTCCGACCCCAAGGCCACGATTTTCGTCTCGTCTGATGGGACCCATACCGCCAACAACCACTCTAGGTCCAGGCGTATGGGCATGAGTCAAAACTCTGACACCAGAGAAGAGACTGGCACGTCTCGATGTAACCCGTGGCCATGACGAGCCATACCTGAGGATTCACATCAAGAACAGTGTCGGGCGTGCCAGTGCTATTCTGCCTAACCTCGTACGAACACTGACAGGCGCGTCAGTTCACCACGACGTCCGTCGGGGCAGAATGGAACGTCATGACCGGCAGATGACGTCTGCGCATGGTGGCAGTGACGAACAGGGCCACGACGTGGAGCCATCCCTGTTGACATCTACAGGATCAGTGGGACCCGTATAAAGGAGAAGAAGGACCCGACGATCCTAGAAGCCTTCTCTCTCTCTCTCTCATTCTTCTTCTTTTCCTCCACTGTAACCCACGCTTTTCCTTCGCCTATAAAAGGGAAAGCAGGGTGCCCCTATCGAGGGACCGAATGACAAATGAATCGGAACATAAGAGCACGATACGAGCACACAACTGAGCGCCAATTGAGCTCTCAGCACCTATTCACTCCTTTCCCCAAAGACTTGGGATCCTTTCCCTCTCTCGCCTGTTTGTAACCCTACTGCAAACCAAGTGCCGGTAACACGAGCAGCAGCGAATTGGACGTAGGGACGTTTCGCCCGAACCAGTATAAACCCTTGTGTCTTCCAAGCACACCATCCGAGCCAGACGCGCAAATACAAATTTACTTGTCGATGGTTCGAAAACACCGACAATCGCTGGATTCACATGTGATGAGCGTTCGCTAATTAGTCTCGTCCGTCCTCCTCTCCTCCACTCCTCCACGCGGGATCCATCTCCTCCACGCCGGATCCACCCATAGCTCGCCTCCACGCCGGCCTCCTCCTTGTCTTCACGCCGGATCCACCGATTGCTCGGCTCCATGTTGCCCTCCTCCTTGCCTCCACGCTAGATCCGAGTGCGACCGGAGTAAGGGGTCGCCGACTTGCCAGATCCGGGCGCTACTCGCCTGTGGGGGAGAGGGAGAGGAGAGGGAAGGGCGCTGCTGCCTGTGGTCCGCCCGCTGCTCGCCTCCACGCCGGATCCGCCCGCTACTCGCTCCACGCCACTCTCCTCCTTGCCTCCACGCTGGATCCGGCCGTGGCTGGAGGGGAGGGAGGGGCGTCGCCGCCTGTGGGGGAGAGAGGGAGAGGGAGGAGCGCTACCGCTTGTGGGGGAGAGGGAGCTAGAGGGAGGTGCGCCGCCGCCTATAGGGGAGAGGGAGAGGAGAGGGAGAGGGAGGGGCGCCACCGTCTGTTGGAGGAGCCGAGAGGGGCGCGCGGCCTGTAGGGGAGTCGGAAGGGGCGCGACCTATGGGGAAGGGCGCCGCTGCCTGCGGGGGAGGAGTTTGTGGGTAGTAAGTGAGAAGATAACCCTAAGTCTATATTATATATGAGCCCAGTAGAAGATGAATATGGACCTTTGCTTGGGCTGGGAGTTAGGCCACTATTTTTGGAGGCGAGCCTTATAGTGTGCCCGCCTCCGAAAATAGATTAACCGAGACGGTTGTTTTAAGGCAACCGCCTCAGTTAATCGATATTAACTGAGGCGGTTATATTACAGTGTCCGCCTCGTTTAAGCATTAACCGAGGTAGTTGCTGGCCCGACTGCCTGGCCTCAAATAACCGAGGCGGGCAACCAGGCCAACCGCCTCGGAGCCCCAAAGTGAAACGCTGTGCAAAAGATTTTCTATAGTAGTGTAATAGAGGGTCGGGACCGTCGTCAGAGCCTGCTACTTAAGAGGAATGGTGACCTTGACAGCTTGATGATCTATAAGGCGCTCAAAATAGCAAACTCAAGCTCGGATGACTAGACCAATTTCATCTCGCAAAACAAGGCGCCACCTCGTGTCAAGTTCTTCGCTTGGCTATAGTCACAGAAACAGATCCAATGCAAGGCGAATATGGTGCGAAAGGGCATCGTGGACACTGCGGATTCTGATGTCTGCCATGCGGTGGTGGAGACCCCAGCTCACATAATCAATACAATTAACGTGGTGGGGGACACTCCCCTATAAAAAAAACCATGTTGCTAGCCGGGAGTCTTTTTTCGAAATTGACTGGATCAAGTGAAGTGTGCATGGTTGGCAGCCTAGTTTATAGTTCCCCTTATAAAATGGACTGATTCTCTCCTTTTATTTTAATAATACTACAGGAAAGCAAAAGCTCTTGTCATGATTTTCTTTTTAAAAAATAATGTTGTAATTTTGAGAAACTATCAAGAAAACCTTACCATGGTTTGCGGAATGGGGGTTGAAAGGCCTCATCTTATAGCAGTATATTAGATATTCTTAAACTCAAAAATACCATGGTATCACATGGCTTTCAAAAAATACAAGATTCGTTATGTCTAAACACCTCGTAGTATTTTTAATAAAAAAATAAAGCACTACAAATTTCCAAAATCATTTTTTCTATTGTAAAGATACTTTGCATTAAACCGGCCCAATTGCCTCTTGTGCCATGCGAACTCATACTTTATCAGAACTCAATTATCGATCTAATTAGACCCATCCAACCTAGAAGTGTTAGTCATCCATGTCAATAGGCCCAACACAATTTGGATTATCGGCCCAATTAGGCCTCCTTGTCCTATGACGTTATCCCACAGACAGCAGTGACTCAATCTCAACGAACCTGTGAGCGTAGGGACAGGGCCACAGGGCTGTGCGGCTAAAGAAAAAAAATCATAAACTACTTTGAGCATCTCTTAACGCTAAACGATACTTAAAACTAGTTTGTCCTTAACCTTATCCTTTATTTATTTTTAGATGGGGGCATATGCCCTTAGAGGGGAAAAAACTAAACTACCCAAAGAACGGGTGGACCGAGCTGGGGACGCAGGACATGCTCAACACCGCGGTTCTATTGTTGCGGTACGCGCTCCCCTTGGGCGAAGTCAGTTTCAACCGTCCGGGTTTTTGGCAAGACATTTCAAGGTCAGTTTGGCCGGTTTTACAAGTGTTCTAGAATTTGTGTTAATGCTTACGATCGATCGACTGTCGGATTTGCGTTGTAGTTCGTTGAAGGAAGAAACATAGGTGGCCAGAATGCGAAGGACGGTACAAAGGTGTGATGGACTATTACCGCAGGAAGCGGGGAACGGTGCTGGGGCGTAACTATCGCTTCGCTGAAATCCTTGACGAGACCATACCCCTTGACGACGAACTTCAGTGAACCAGAAGGACGATGAAGAAGAAGAGCAAAGCTTCGAAGAAGCGACCGTCGACTGAGGCGGTGGACGGCTCAGAAACACGAATACGACAGGGAAGGTGCGTATCCTGTATCGGATACGTATCCGATATGGATACACCTGGGATATGGCCGGGATACGTATCCGCGGCGTGTCGGCGTATCCCTGCTTATTTGGGATGGAAACTAAGGAAAGGAAACGTTTCGGCCCAGTCGATACGGCCCAGCTCAACTTACCACCATCCCATCCTTTGCCTTTGCCATACTCCCAACCCCTCCCACGCGCAGTCCGCCCCCGACTGGCCAACTCCCCCACGCAGCACCCGTGTCCGCCGCCCGCCGGCGACCAGCCTTGCCCTCGCCGACGACAAGGAGCCCCCGCGACGGCGACAAAGAGCTGCACCCCGCCTCCAACAACGAGCCCCTGCGATGGCAACGAAGAGCTACGCCCGGCCGGCTACAACGCCAACGAGCCCCTGTGACGGCGAGTCGGAGACTGCACCCTGCCTCGTGCCCCCTGCTTAGGTGAGTTCCTCTCCCTCCCCAATCCAATTTAGAGCTGAGCCAGTGCGCCCTGCCCCATTAGGCCAAAGGCCATTACCCCTTCCCGATTACTGATTAGAGCCTTATTGATTTGGTCCAATGATGGCATCTCCAAATTTGAGTAGTGCAGCTAGTGCTAGTTCTATTGCTAGTGGTAGTGTGGGATCTGGGGCCAAAGAAACAACTGATATCAAGGCTCCACTGTGGGATCATGTCACCATCCTAGAGAGGCCTAAAGCTGGTGGAGGAAATGCTTTTTGGAGATGCAACTATTGTCCATTGGAAAAAAGCAGCAGCTACACTAGAGTTGAAGCTCATTTGCTGTAGAAATCAGGGAAGGGGATTAGCAAATGTCTAAAGGTTTCATATGAAATGCTGAGTGGGATGAGGAGGGAAGTGGAAAGGTGCAAGGAGCTAGTGGAAAAGAGCAAAGACACGCACCGTTGCTTTGCCTGTAGCTCCTTCTTCAGCCAATTACAACAAGAAGAACAAGAGGGGACATGCTTCTATATTGGAAAAATCTTGGGCATTGCAAGACCGCAAGCACTTGGATGCTTTAATTGTTAGAGTAATGTATTCTGGAGGGGTATCTTTCAACTTTCTGAGAAACCCATATTTTAGAGAAGCTTTTGCATTTGCTTGCAACCGCAATTTGCAAGGTTACACAATCCCTAGGTATAACAGGGCATAGGGATTCACTCTTGAAGCAAGAAACAAGGCACATAGAGACTCTATTGGAGAGTACAAAGAGCACATAGCCAGAGAGAGGGGTCACAATCTGCACTGATGGTTGGTCAGATCCTCAGAGGAGGCCAATCATCAACTTCATTGCTGTTTCTGAGAAAGCTCCAATGTTTTTGAGGGCTGACAATTGTGAAGGAGAATACAAGTCAAAAGAATATATTGCTGAGAAGTTGAGGGCTATTATTGATGAAGTAGGTCGACAAAATGTGGTATAAATCATTACAGATAATGCTGCAAACTGCAAAGGTGCGGGTCTTTTAATTGAAGCTGAAAATGATCACATATTTTGGAGGTATCACAAATGAGGATGACTTGCTTTAAGAAGTTCTTTCGCATACCGCAAGAGTTGGCTAAAGTAAAGGAAGAATACTCAAGGTTTTCTAGTTGTTCAGAAGAATTTAATGATTCTGATTCTATACATGATAGATGGACTGTTTCCCCAATGACTTGGTGGACAAATCATGGACAATCTGTCCCTCTACTGATGAGTTTGACCATAAAATTGCTGAGCCAACCGGCCTCCTCTTCTTGCTGTGAAAGAAATTGGAGCACATATAGCTTCATCCATAGTGTCAAGAGAAATGCCTTAACTCCTGAGCGGGCTGAAGATTTGGTCTTTGTGCACTCAAATCTGAGGCATTTGTCAAGAACTGATGCATACAAGACAGGAGAGACAAGGATGTGGGATATTGGAGGAGATTCTTTTGATTCCCTTAGTGGTGTAGGTCTTCTTGAAGTTGCTGACCTCTCCATTGACCTGCTCTATAATTGATTGGGTGATCTTGACTGTTCGGGGGAGGCCGATCGCGTGGATTATTCTATAATTTTGGATTGGGTGATCTTGAAGTTCAAAGTGAAGTTCAAAGTGTGGAGGAGAATGAGAAAACCGAGGAAGAAGTTTGATGTTGATGGCTTGATGCTATCCTATCCTATTATAATACTATGTTGCTAGTTTGCTACTGGGTGTAATAGACCTTTTATTAATTTCCTAAATTAAAACATGCTATCATGTTATTCTGAGTGTAATAGATCTTAAATGTCTCTATGTTGAAAAACATCTATTTTGCAATTTCATATACATTGTTATCTATTTATTAGTAAAATAGTTAAAACATATCCATATTCTTCCGATACCAATATGCGTATTTGTATCCGTGCAGTATAGGTGGACGGCATCGAGGGCCAGCAGCCAGCGGGCAAGCGCGCGGCCGGTGCTAGTGCCGACGCTGCCAGTGCGGACCGCGTCGGCGAGCTCGTGCAAATGGTAAGACAGCTCATTGCTGACCTGCATGGTCGCGACGCCCGGGGCGTCGCCTGGCGCGCGGACCAGGAGGCGCAAATTTGAAGCCTGGCACGGAGAGGCGCAGCAGCTGCGGGCGCAAGACGAGCAATCGAGGGCTGAGATGACATCCATGATGCAGGGTCTTCTGAACATCCCCCAACCCACACACACACACCAACGTTCTCCCTCTCGATCCTCTCCTTCGGGCGCCAATGACTTCCTCTTCCCACAATTTTCTTAGTCTGCCAGCTGATTACTGTTATACTAGTAATAACTTAAACATAATCTGTGTAGTCTGTCCTATTACATACAGAGAAAGAGAGAGTGAGAGGTAGCCGCATGCAGGCACCCCCACTATCCTACCCCCCACAGCTCTTTCACTGTCAGGTTCATGTAAGTTAAAATCGCTTACCGACCGCAATAGCAGCGGTGATTTGGACAGTTGTATGCGTTTGCTGGCTGCTCAGTTAACTGGATGTTTGCTTCCTAACTCCTAAAGGCAGTCCCTGTAGTATCGAAGGTTTGACACTAATTTAGAGTATTAAATATAGATTAATTATAAAACTAATTGTATAAATGGAGACGAATTTATTAAGTCTAATTAGCTCATGGTTTGACAATGTGGTGCTACAGTACACATATGCTAATGATAGGTTAATTAGGCTTAATATATTCGTCTCGTGAATTAGTCACGCCTTCTGTAATTAATTTTATAATTAGTATCCGAACACTCGATGTGACACCGAATAAATATCGCTTTGTGTCTCTTGTTTCCCAATTAATTTTGCCTAGGTTCCAACTTGCACGATCTGAAATGCCAGCTCGTGCATTTGCACATTGAAACTGTGGCGCCTGCAGAGCAGAGCACAGCAGAAGCAGAAAAGAGCAGGGGATGGTGTAGAAATAGGACAGGTGCAGTTTCAGAGGTGATGTTGGTTGGATAGCCAGCTTATTGAAGCCTACTTAGTACTAACAACACGAGTCAATCCTTCCTAACTTCCTTCTGCCAGGATCAAAAGTTTCAATCAAATTGGAGCACAAGGAGAGTAGCCAGCTGATTGGAATTCAGTCCTACTAACAACAGTAAAACCAATCGTTCCTAGGATTGGTCTAAATGCAAGGAAACTCCATTAAAAACAAATGCAATGAAACCGGGAAAAGTACTCGTATGTCTGCGTGTGACGTGCGGTGTGAGGAGGATGGAGTAGGTTATCGCTTGGAGATGGGGCCTGAGGCTGTCATACCAGCGGCAGGGAGCGGTGTTTGCGTGATCAGTAACCTATTTTGCACAAATTTCTGCAGTTTCATTAAACCTGTTTTGTCATCCTCAGGGTCCCCAAAGCACCGGGAGCAGCCAATAGGAAGAGGATACAGAGAAGGTCGAGGAGAACAATTGAGTGAGAACTGACCTGGGCGAAACTGACAGCTAGGGTTTCCTCGAGAGCGCACACAAGGAGCATATGGCGCCTCTCCCGTGAGGTGGTGCTGAACGGAGGGGACTGAGCCGCCACCGTCACCCTCGGTGGGGGCAGTGCGTCCTGTCCTGTCGAGCCCTGCCGCTGCCACACGAGTGAACGGCGGCGCGACAGACTAGGCGTGGCCCAAGGAAGAGACGGAGGCGGAGTGGACGGTGTTGGAGGAGCAGAGGCGGAGGAGGCGATGCCGATGCCGCGGAGAAGGGGAGACGATGTGTGGCACGGGCGGAGGAAGACGAGGAAGACGATGGGTGAGATAAATTTATACCGTTGAGAGATCAGATGGACAGGAAAAAATTGGGTGACGTGGCTAGGTCGGTTACGCATGGGGTGGAAACAAACTGTAGAGGAGAAATTTATTTATCTATCCCTAATAATAAAGAGGTAAAATTTCAGCCTATATTTTGGTATCCATTTTTTGGGTCTGGCCTTCCTAACTACCTACAAGATGATGGAAATTGAGAACTGCTTCCGCAGCCGTGTAATAAAGAAGTTGTATGTCACGCTCCCCTCCTTCAGCTCTAAATCGACATGGATATCATCAATGCCGAAATCAAATTCCAATTCCAACTCTAAATCGATATGGATATCAATGCCAAAATCAAAACTGCATAAATAAAGAAGTCGTCGGTCACCCTCCCGTCCTCCAAGTCCAAATCGACATGGATATCATCAATGTCAAAATCAAATTCCAATTCCAACTCTAAATTGATATGGATATCAATGCCAAAATCAGTTCCATACAAACCGAGCGGACCACAACCTCCACCTTTTAAACTCTGTCAAAATCTAAATCGATATGGATATCAATGCCAAAATCAAAATGGTTCCATCGAAACCGAGCGGACCACAACCTCCACCTTTTAATCTCTGTCAAATCGTCCCCTATCGCATGATTAATCTATGCCAAAATCTGCCTCCTTATAATAGCAAGTACCCTCACCCATCTTATCATGTCTGACAAGAACTCCGATCGATGGCGTCTGTCACGGGGTCAGAACCGTGGCAAGCATTGTTGTTCGAGGTGGTGTCAGAGTGCGTGTCTCCAGTGGCTCGGGTGGACTCAAGAACACAAGAATCACAGAGGGGACGCAACGGTTTATCCTGGTTCGGGCCAATCGATGCCCTACGTTCAGCAGCTGATGATCCTTATATTCAAGAGCACCCAAAATTAGGGGGGTACAACAGAGTGTAAAGGAGAAAGAGAGAGATTTGGTAGGGGATCGCTCGGTGCTGATTCTAGGGTCACATCGCCGCCGATGGAGCCTTCCCCCTCGTCGGAGAGGAGGAAGACGACGGATCCAGTGTGAAAGCATCTAGGCCCCTAGTTGGGTTTTGGTGATTAATGACGACACAAGATTACTGTGACTAACGTGTGTTTTGCAGAGGCAATTTGAGTTAGGTCATGGTAATGGTAATTGATTGGACAATTATGGTTTTTATGCCCCTATTGATGGAAATCGTCTCGGTTTTTAAAGGGTGGACGATAAGGTTAAGGACAGACTAGTCATAAGTGTCGTTTGGCATTGGAGAGACACTTAGAGTAGTTTTAGGACTTTGTTTTTCCTTTGGCCATACTATTAAGGGGGGTATGGACTAGTAACTTGACCTAGGTGAGACTAATGGTTTAGGTGTGGTGCACACTTGTCAAACTTAGCACTAGGTAGCTCAAGAACAGTGCACAAGTCAATTGAAGTCGATGCCGTTCACAAAAGTTGTCGAATTTGAGGTGAATGGAGACTTGGATACTGATCGGACGCTGGACCGGACGCATGGGTGCCGCGTCTGGTCAACTGTATAGCGCGTTGTAGCAAAGAGCGCGCATCACACATGAAAGACCGGACGCTGCGACCGTTGTGACCTGACTCACCAAAGGCCGCGTCCAGTAAACAATAGTAAACATCCAGAGAGGAGATTTGAGGACCGAACGCGTCAGGTCCAGGTGGATCGGACGCTGCAACGCGTCCGATCTCTCTAATGGACTCGACTAACAGGATGACGCAATGTAGCCATTGGCTACTGACCGGACGTGTCCGATCATTTTGACTTGAGCGTCCGGTCACCCTAAAAATGCTGAGTTGGACCCCCACGGGTATGTTTTAAAGTGAGGAGTATAAATACTTCTTTCACTCATCCAACTTAGCTCTCTTGCCCATTTGTTCAGCTGAGAAACATCTTTGGAGTGCAAGGAAAAGCAAGAGCCTAGTGGGGGTGATTGAGATTTGATAATCCAAGATTAAGGACCTCATTAGTGCATAGGGAGTAGCAAGTATGCATCCACCTTTCTTATTAGGCTTGGCTTGGTCAAGTGAGAGTTTGTGCTTATTACTCTTGGTGATCGCCATCACCTAGACATCTCGGTTGTGATTGGAAGCTTGGTGATCATCCGACGGAGCTTGTGGATGACCCAAGTCATGGAGTAAGTGGTTGTGGGCGATTCACTGCGATGGAGTGTCGAAGAATCAGCCCGTAGAGAACACTTGATCCTTGCGTGGATCAATGGGGAGCTACACCCTTGTGTGGGTGCTCTAACGAGAACTAGTGGGGAGTGACGACTCTCCCATACCTCAGAAAAATATCACCGCGTTTCTCTCATTCTCTTTACTTTGAGCATTTATATTTGAGCATTTTTATTCATGTCTTTGCGTTCTTAGAATTACCATGCTAGAGTATATTGGAACCTAGGGTACAAAACTCTTGTACGGTAGAACAATAGAAATACTTCTAGGCAAAAGGGGGTGAAATGGACTAAGTGTAGGACTTAATTATTGAAAGAAATTTAGAATTAGCCCAATTCACCCCCTCCCTCTTGTGTATCTTGATCCTTTCAATTGGTATCGGAGCCTCGTGCTCCTTAAATTAGGCTTAATCGCCTAGAGCAAGATGTCCCACGGGGATGTACCCCCTTCCATCTTTGAGGGAGATGATTTTCCTTATTGAAAAATTCGCATGGAGGCGTACCTAGAGGCTTTAGATGTTGGAGTGCTTAGAGACGTCTCACAAGGCTTCCCAAAA